GAGGGTCAGAGAGAGGGAGACACAGAATCTGAAACAGGCTCCGGGCTCTGAGCTATCAGCACAGAGCCCGACGCGGGGCTCGAACTCACGGACCGCGAGATCATGACCTGAGCTGAAGTCGGCCGCTTAACCGACTGAGCCACCCAGGCGCCCTGATCAGCCAGATATTTTACTGCTTCACACTGGGTGAGGTTCCAGGGTCGGGCTCAGCAGGTGGCAAAAGCTACCAGGTGTTGGAAGGTATACGCAAGCTCGGCCCTGGGGAGCTCCAGGGAGCAGATTGGGGAACTGTGACTGGCAACACATTCATGGGCAAGAGTGGAGCCCACGATGGCAGATAGAGCTGAGAGACTAGAGGCTGGGCTGTTGCTGAAATGCAGAAGAAGGCACTGAATGATGGGGACCCAGCCAACTCGGGGAACAGTAGCAAGTCCTGAGGCCCCTTGCCTTTGCCACATGATACTTGTGAGGCTTTACCTTAATTTAAAAGCACCCCGTTTGGGGGGAAAGGCGGAAACTTCCCTTTGTAGATGGCAAATTCCCTACATTAGTGGTTTTTTTCCTAGTAGCACTGATAAATTTGACCTGATCTGACCATCTGCTCATTTTCCTCGTGACCAGTGGTATCGTTTCAGCAGATGGCCCGCTGGTGGGTGGCATTTGTCATCCACCAGATCCGGAAGCTTTAGTACTTAAGCTCCCATTTTCAGACTGTGACTGTCAGAGGGGGTCCCTGGCAGGGACATGGTCCAACCCTCCCCTTCCAGTGGGCTGTGAGGATGAACGGGACCTGAATCACAGTGGTGAGCACAGTGCCTGGCACAGAGGAGTCCCTAGGGAATGTTAGCAGCTGCCGGCTGTTCCTGCTGTCACGTGCTTTGACATTTACTGTTATTCCTGGTCCCCTGCCTGTCACCTAGAACGAAGCAGTGACTGTCAAATGCAAAAATACCTGACCAGAGATCTAAGAACACGGGTTATGAAACTAGTTGGAAAGTCACATCGGGTCCACAGGCTGGCTCCTACATTGTATAAAGTACACACCAGCCCTTGGCATCTTGCTCGCATCCCCAGGAACATCGTTGGGTATTCTTGGCCCAGTCAGAAGAGCTGGAGCAGGTCACTGCAGCCCGAGGGAGCCCAGTTGATGGTTCAAGGTAGGAAGGAAGGGCCGGGTCCCGTTCTGACTCCCCACAAAGCCCTGTCTCCACCGTCAGCTCTGCCATCCATGCCTGTTCAGCGGCATGAAAACAGATGGTTCCATTAATTTCTAAACAAGCCTCTCCAGAGGGGAAATTGGCACCAACAACCTGTGAAGGTTATCCTTTTAAAAAAATTATGCGTGAAAGTAAAAAATTAATGTGTCACCCTTTACATCAGCCCCACCTGGTGACTTGATCGGACCCTTCATTTCCTCTGAATACCGTGCTTCTAAAAGGAAGCAGAGCCCACTGTTGGCAAGGAGCACACGGTCTAGTTGGAGAAGGGGCAGGAGCTGTGCATCAGGCACCGTGTCAGACCCTTCACACACAGTGTTTGGGCTCCTCTTCACAGTCCACGTTCCCTCCTGCCTCTGGACCTTGGTACAGGCTGTGTCCTCTGCCTGGAAGCCTCTCGCTTTTCTCCCATCCTCACCCCGTCAACTCTGCTAGACTCTGGATTGTTCATCCAGGTCTCTGCTTCAACATGAACACCACCTATGAGAAGTCTTGTCTGGCCCCAGGGTTGCATTAGGAGCGCTCCTTAGGGGCTGTAGCAGTTCACTGCTGCTCCAAACAAGCCATCCTAAAACTTAGTGACTTCAGACACACCATTTTAGTATGCTCTCTGGTGGATCTGCAGGTGGACTGAGCTCAGCAAGGTAGTTCTCATTCAGTCCCTCCTGCCATTGAAGCCAGATGGTGGCTGGGGCTTACATGACTGGACGCTCCATCACTCCCCGGCGCTTGAGCTGAAATCAGATGTTGAGGGGGCTGGGGTTCCGTGGGCAGCACTTTCTCGCTCTGTGTGGCCGGCATACAGCCTCAAGATAGCCAGCCTTACCCAGTGGCCGAGGACCTCACAGGAACATCTCCTGAGAGAGCAGGGCAGTACTTGTATTGTTTTTCATTATTGAGCCTCTTTTCCCAATGTTCTTTTCTCTGAGGCCTTTGTCTCTTGATGACTGTTTGACTCCAGAGTTGCTTCTCGGGGCTACAGGAATCCCAGAGAAAGCTGATGGGAGGACGACAAGAAGGCTGCTGGAGGAGGTGGTATTTAGGCTGGGCCTTGAAAGAGGGCTGGGATTTGCATGGAGGGAAGAAAAGAGGCAAACTCAATAGAACCAGCTGCTACAGGCCTCAGGTGAGAGGGTGCAGCTGTGAGGAGGCTTCCAGATGGCCGCCAGGACCATACCAGGGAAGCAGGTCAGGGGGAAGAAGTCCCAAGAGGGAGGCTGCCTGGCTGCCCCCATGGAAGGCCTGTGAAGTAGAGAAGATGGCCACTAGTCTGGGCAAGCCACAATGGTCAATGATTCTCGTTTGCCTCCTGACAGTCGCCTCAAGGTAACCATCCGTGAGGTGCATGTTTCACCTCCCAGCAGATGTCATTGTGGAAGGCCTCCTCTCGTTTGGCACGCTTTCAGTTCCACACAGAGCCAGTTCCCATGGCTTACACAGCCTCTTCTAAAAATTCCTCTCTTCAGTTAATCGGTCAAGAGTTACCGTTGACCCTCGCTCAGTAGCTTCCTTGCCTTCTCATCCACCCAAGTGAAGGTGCGATCTCTTGGGCCTTTGGAAAGGTCTTTGCTCCTGAAATACATCAGGGCAGCCACGGCCATTGCATGGGTGGCCCCCGCGCCTGGAACCTCACCATTCTCACACTGACTACCTGACATTAGGTCAAGCTTCCCTAGGCTCAGGCACCTACGAGACTCCTCTTATTATAAATATACGGTGATGCAGCCATATCATCTCACCAGAATTTGGCAGAGCGTTGTTACCATTATTCCCATTGTGCTGAGGAAGCAAAGGCCAGGACCACTTAGCTAGTTAGAAGTGGATCTGGAGCTAGAACCCAGCTTTTCTGATGCCAGGACCTTCGTTCTTTGTCCTGCATCTTGCTTCCACTGGAGGTGTTTTTCAGGGAGCCTGCCATTACCATTGGTTCATCTTTTCATTCATGTACTCAACCAGCGCCTACTCTGTGCTTGTCCTGCATGTAGCAAGCCTGTGGTCATTAGAGCCTCTCCAAGTGTGGGTCAGGGGGGAACTCGTGAGCGCTCGCGACTCTGCCTGCGGAATGAACATCTGTCCCTGGAGAACTTGCTCACTCATCCCTCCAACCTCATGACAGTGTAATTTGTGACATAATTCCAAAACCTGTTCATCTTTCTGCAGATTTGTTTGTTCACCATATACTTAAATTTACGTGATCCAGTCTTAAGAAATGGTAGGGTATCGGGCAGCTTTGAACAGAAGTGCATTTGTTGTAAACACTTTTTTCCTTTATGTTAGTTTTTTTTATTATTTTCTTAACATTTTATTTACTTTTTTAATATAATTTATTGTCAAATTGGTTTCCATACACAGCCAGTGCTCATCCCAACAGGTGCCCTCCTCAATGCTCATCACCCACTTTCCCCTCTCCCCCACCTCCATCAATCTTCAATTTGTTCTCAGTATTTAAGAGTTTCTTATGGTTTGCCTCCCTCCCTCTCTGTAACTTTTTTTCCCCTTCCCCTCTCCCATGGTCTTCTGTTAAGTTTCTCCACATTAGTGAAAACATGGTATCTGTCTTTCTCTGCCTGACTTATTTCACTTAGCATAATACCCTCCAGTTCCATCCACATTGCTGCAAATGGTCAGATTTCATTCTTCCTCATTGCCAAGTAGTATTCCATTAAATATATAAATCACATCTTCTTTATCCATTAGTCAGTTGATGGCCATTTAGGCTCTTTCCATAATTTGGCTATGAAAGTGCTGCTATAAACATTGGGGTACAAGTGCCCCTATGCATCAGCACTCCTGTATCCCTTGGGTAAATTCCTAGCAATGCTATTGCTGGGTCATAGGTAGATCTATTTTTAATTTTTTGAGGAACCTCCACACTGTTTTCCAGAGCGGCTGCACCAGTTTGCATTCCCACCAACAGTTTAAGAGGATTCCCGTTTCTCCACATCCTCTCCAGCATCTATAGTCTCCTGATGTGTTCATTTTACCCACTCTGAGCAGCGTGAGGTGGTATCTCATTGTGGCTTTGATTTGTATTTCTCTGATGATGAGTGACATTGATCATCTTTTCGTGTTTCTGTTTGCCATCTGGATGTCTTCTTTGGAGAAGTGTCTATTCATGTTTTCTGCCCATTTCTTCACTGGAATATTTGTTTTTCGGGTGTGGAGTTTGGCGAGTTCTTTATAAAGAACTCACATTTTATTGATCTCTGAGACAGAGTGTGCGTAGGGGAGGGGCAGAGAGGCAGGGAGACACAGAATCCGAAGCAGGCTCCAGACTATGAACTGTCAGAACAGAGCCTGACGTGGGGCTCAAACCCACGAACCATGAGATCATGACCTGAGCCAGAGTTGGATGCTTAACTGACTGAGCCATACAAGCACCCCATGTTAGTTTTTTTTTTTTTTTTTTTTTATTAAGCCCATCAGCTTATATATTTGGGAATCTGTGGCATTGTCTTTCTGCTACCCTGAATGCACTAACTTAAAACTGGTCCTGTCGTAAGATGCTGTTTCATATATTGCAATTTTTCCTTTTAAATTGTAAAAAGAGATCTTTTTCTATTTTCCCTTCTGATTTTTAATGATTTCACACACAAACATACCCACATAATAAAAGGAAAAACCCAGAATACATTATTGTGCTCCATAATGGAGATACAGTTTTGTATTGTGTCTTTTGAAGGTTATACTTAAAAGCAGTGAAGTGATTCTGAGGAAACTGAGCACCATTTTCTTCTGTTTATGGAAATTTCCCACAATCCTCTTTCCCCTTTGCTTTCTCAGGCCCAGCACACCCACGACGCCATCACAGAGGCCGCCCAGCTCATGAAGGAGGCTGTTGATGACATCATGGTGACACTGAATGAAGCAGCTAGCGAAGTGGGGCTGGTGGGAGGCATGGTCGATGCCATTGCAGAGGCCATGAGCAAGGTAGGCCTGGGCATCCACGTGTTCACCTTCACCCCTTGACCCCATCTGCTCCTCAGTTTCCCTCAGATGTGATCCCCAAGTGCTTTTCTCTAAGGAGTGGTCGGTCAAAGTGGATATCAGTGAGCCTCCTCTTGAGGGTTCTGATAAATGTATACATTTTCTATCCTCTGTCCACCATAGTATTCATCCCTTATTATTTATTCATTACTTTTTTAAGCCACTCTCATCCTGTCTTTCAATTTTATGCAGGGGAAAGAAAATGGAGATGGAGAAGGTATCACTGGCTCCTTCACTTATAAAATGGAAATAATTATTTACCTCCCCTGTTGACCTCACAGAGATGTCATGGGGAACAAACAGCAGAGTGAAATAGTGAAGTGATTCCCAAGCGCTAGTCTTTGGAATGGCTACTTAGGAATCACAGGGAGCACGTTCCAAGACCCTACCCTAGCCATAATCAGTTGGAATCTCTGTGGGGTTGAGCCTAGGAATCTCTCTATATAGTTTTTTTTTAATGTTTATTTAATTTTGAGAGAGAGACAGAGCATGAGCAGGGGAGGGGCAGAGAGAGAGGGAGACACAGAATCTGAAATAGGCTCCAGGCTCTGAGCTGTCAGCACGGATCCCGATGTGGGGCTTAAACCCACAAACCATGAGATCATGACCTGAGCTGAAGTCTGGCGCTGAACTGACTGAGCCACCCAGGTGTCCCAGAATCTCTGTATTTTTTAAATCTCCCCATGGTTTTGGTATCTACAAATGCAGAAACCACTGAAGTAGTATGTGTGAAAGCCTGTAGTGAACTCTTGTGGGCAACGGGCATAGGAGATAATGTGAGAATTATTTCTCCTGCAGTGACCCCTCCATTGACTTGGATCAGTAGAGAAGTAAGACTGGAGAGTGTCTCCTGCTCTTTCCCCAAGGAATCCTTCACTCGTCTTAGCAGTTTGATAGTCATTAAAATTAACAATTGTTCGTCAATATCTAATTGCCATTCTGGGATAGCACAGCCAAGAACTTGAGATTTTGTCTGTGTTTTGAAATGTCCATTGTCAGACTGTGAGTACATTATTACAGTTTTTCAGGATAATAAGTGGTCTTTAATTGCTAATTTAGAGAAGATTGGTTGGTTCATATCTCCATAAAGAGGTGATAGCCCGAAGCTGTAATTAGGATAATTCTCCTTAAACATCACAGTCCAGGCTGAGATGCTGGGGCTCCTTCAGAGACCTCAGGCGTGCCTTGTCAGAGCCCTCCAGTAATTTCTGCTGTGGGCTTCTCGTGCCTTAAATGTGGACAGTTTGGCATGAAATGAGTGAAGTTCCCCTCTTTCTAAAGGCCTTTGGGTAAGTCTCCATGGGTTTGTTTGGCTTCCAGGAGTCAGAACACCAGAACTTTGAAAGTAAGCCATGTGCCTACCAAGGTTATTAAATAATGGAGCTCAGGTTTTCTCAATACAAATTAGAAATTCAAATGATAACCTTTTTCTTCCTAGGAGAAGGTATTTTCCAGAATCACCTCAATGATGGGGAAGGGTTCCACCAATCCCTGGCATATGGAAGTCATATTCTTGAAGTCTTTTTTTTTTTTGATAGCCTTTGAGCCTTACCATACTGTGACGGCTTTTCAGCAAAGAAAGCAGCTCTTGTACTGGCTGCTGTCAGTCGTTTGACAGCTGCTCTCTCACTCAGCCCAGGACACACTTGATTCTCTCTGAAGGACTGGGGAGAGAAGTCCGGTGTGAACTGATAGCAGTAATTAGGAACTGCTAATGACACGACCCACAGAGGCCGGGAACAAAGGGGTTTTTTTCCTCAGTTCCACAGGGTATACAGGTAGGGTTTTATTGGTACCCCTACACTTGGACCTACCCAGACCTGCCAGCCAAAGCCCAGTGAACCACCTAGTGCCTCTTCCCCATTCTCCTTTCGTTCAGCTCACCCCAAACTGCCCATCGCTACACACTTTGGGCTAAGTGATATTCCAGATCCTTTGAACCCCTAAGCGTTGAAGTATTAGGATTGGCACACATTCTTAGTTCTGGTTATTTGGTTACATTATTGATACACTGTTAGCATCATTGTCTGAACTTCTTAAAGCCATTGAGCAACTGGCGGAAAAAACCAACGTGCGCCCAAAGTTGATTCTAACGTGGACACAGTTTACACCACTTTTGGTGCTTCTGCTGTGGAGGTTCTTTTTGGAATTCTCTCTCCATGTCTAAGCACCAGAAGGTTTGGGTTAATATGAAGTAATCAACTTTCTGGTCTACCTCGGATAAAGAACTCAAGCCCTCTGAAACTCCATTTCCTCATTCAATGAGGTTAGTGGCCCTCGGCCTTGGGGATCTTGTGACCCACTGCCTTTTCTTTGTTTTGAGTTTTTGTTTGGGTTATTAGATGGTGGTGGTGGTGGTTTATTCTTTTTGATCAGGGATGGAGATGAAAACAAAAAAACCTGCTATCTGCATCACTACTGTTTCCTGCAAGAAAGGTCATGTTAACATCCCCCTCAAAAAAAGTAGGAAGGCTATAATTAAAATCTCAGAGTAAAGGAAAGTTCTTTAAACTAAAGAAATCTGGAATCCAAAAATTCGTCCCTTTTGATCTTAATTGTGTCACTTTCTTCAGATTGGTAAGTTTGCCACGGTAGCCTGAAGCCCCTGTGTTCCGAGCTGCCCTCCAGCTCCAGCATCCTGGTGTGTTTGTAGTTAGGCCACATTTCGTATGAAGTCTCCCAGCACATTGCTGGACACTTAGAAGATGCCCAGTCAGTCTCTACAGAGAGAAGGAGTCCACAACTCAGTCCTCATTTGACCAACAGGGTCCCCATAGTGCATTGGAGACTTAGACAGCAGCTCTATCCTTGGCAAGGAAGCCTGGACAGATCCACCCTGGGGTTTGTGCTGAGGCTTTGATGGGAATTATATTCCCGAACTGTGCGGCCACATCACACATAGGCTGTAGTGATACGCCCCCTGGTCTCTGCCCAGACTTCAGACTGTCTGTCATTGCCTACCCCGGACCCCACGTTTTCCCCATGATTTCAAGGTTCTTCATCAGACAGACCAGCTTCATCCCCATGCTCTCAACAGCCCCTCTTCTGTTCACTATACTCCCTCTACCTGTATTCGTTTCTCTTTCCTCTACGTCCTTACCTGGAATACCATTCTGCAGTCAGTGGCGACATTAGCGATGATGATGGCGGTAGACATGGGTTGCCTTTCTCATCGTCATAGTGCTCATTGACATCATCATCATCGTCGTCTTCATTATCCTGGTCATCATCTCTTCCTTCATCTCACTTGATGTGCCCTACAACAGCCTGGTGCTAGGAAGTCTCCACTGAAGGACCTGAGACTCAGAGTATAAGCGACCAGCTTGAGGCCCCCTCACAAGCCCTGGAACCAGGGCTTCTGAACCAGTATGCCCCCAACCCTTCAAGGGACAGAGTCACTGTCCCACTTGTTCCACCTCTTCCCCCCACAGTGATGTCTGCCATTTGTCAATTCCTGTTGCTTTCAGTCAGATGAGCAGCAAGTTGTTCCTAGTGGTTCCAATTCCTTGTCTTCCCCAACCTAGATCAGAAGTGAGAGTTCGAGGGTGTACATTCTGTGGGCTACACCAGTCCTAGGGAAGCCATTCAGGACGTAGATTCTGCCTCCTCTCCTGAGTCATCTTCTGTCATTTTGTGCTTCCCTAGAAGTGTCTGGCTCATGCCCACTGCCATATGCTTGAACTCTAACCCTGCTTCTTGGAACATCTTCCCCACCTTTTGTGTGTGGCAGACTCTTCCCCTGGTAACAGTTGGCAGAAATGTCCTTCCTCTGGAGTGCCCTCCCTCTCCTCTCAGACAAGGCTTGGGACCTCCTTGCCTGTGTACCCCGAGTGCCATCTTGGCACTTCTGTTAACGCCCTTATCGCCAAAGCTGAGGGATGCTGTTGACTCTAAGCCAAAGAAATTCTGTGGGCGTCTCCATTTTCAAAGTTCTGATTCTAATAAAATACAGTCCACCCTTCAACTGTCCTCTCCTGACATGTGGGTGCTTATTTCTCTCCTCTGTAGCTGGATGAAGGCACTCCTCCAGAACCAAAGGGAACATTTGTCGACTATCAGACGACTGTGGTTAAATACTCCAAAGCCATTGCGGTAACAGCTCAGGAAATGGTAAGAGGAAAAGAGCTGCCCCACCCACCGTTGGTTGCCCTGTTGTCCTCCACTACCACCACTGAGTCATCAAATCAGGGTCTGTGTTGGAGAGAGATGACTCCGTGTTTCTTGTTCCTTATGGGCCCCAGCTCTGTGCTTTATCTGTGATCTCTCCGGCTGCCTATGGTCTAGACGCCCCAGTCTGCGGGAGCTCTGATTTCATGGAAAAGCTGCAAGAGGGAATTACAGATAATTGAGACTTGGGCATGAGGACAGGGGAGCAAAGGAGGGAGAGAAAATGAGAAGGAAGTTGGAGGTAAGGGGAAAGAAAGAAATCCTATCCGCCTCGCCAAGGACTGGACGCGTTTTATCAAGTTACAGTATGTGGACAATAAGATATGCTAGTCTGTCAGGCACAATGAAACAGCATGGGTCTGTAAAATCAATTTCCCAGACAACAGAAGGCACGTAACCTTTGGAGGTAATTTTCCATTTTTCTTTTTTCTTAGAATGTGTTGCCATCAGAATTGTATTAGATGCATCTTTAGATAAAAATGGCATTGAGAGACAGTGAATGCTGTCTTGGTATGCTAAAAAAATAATACAAAAGATGACAAATGGTGTCCTCAAAAATACACAGTACGTAGTAAGAAAGCTCCTCTTAACCTCTGAAAGCTCAGAGGTCACAGAATAAAATTTTGGAAGACGCCTCTCTGCTGCTGCCACATGAGGCCTGAGTTGAGAGAGGAGGTGGCTTCCCAGCTCGAGGGACTGAGTCCGGGCCTGGCTCCTGCCCCACCAGACCCAGCACCTCTGGATGGTTTTGTCATGTAGTCTTACGTCCACTAGAGGTTGAGCTTGGACCACAAAGGCTTCCCCGGCTGCTGTTACTCCTTCTTAGAAACTCTGTGATTGTGCCAAGCTCATTGGTACTTAAAAGGATTTGGGATGGGAGGGGGAACAGGAGCAGTGCCTGTCTCGGCGACTAAAAGAGCTGGAGTCAGGCCCATGCTGGTTCTGCTCAGGGCGCTCCAGGGCGGGGCACAGGTTGCATCGGGCGGCCCTCCTGTGCCAAGTTCTCTGAGCAGAGAGCACAGCGCAGCAAGAGATGAAGGTATTTTGAGTGGCCTCGTGGCGTTTTCTGGAACCTCTTGCAGGCTAGGTTCTCAGCAGGCCCATCCTGATCCTTGATGTGCATGCTCTTGAGGAGCCCCGCCTGGGATGGCATGTCTGCTCCTAGGCTGGCTGGCCTGGACCCTGAGTTGGCAAGGGTCCGCTTCGCCATGCCAGGTTGCCCGGGATCCAGGGCTCACACAGAGCACCCTCCCTCTCACAGGGTGTTTAGCGTGTGTGTTCCTTAGGAGCCCACGCCTATGCCAGAAAGCCTGTGATGCTTTCTGATACGCCTGCGTTAGATGGCTACATGTTCCCATCCAGCCTCCGTGACTATGGAGCCATTTAAAACATTTTTTAAAGCCCTTTGAAGCCAAAGTCTTCTAATGCCACCAAGAGAGAGGAGAGGGTAGGGCAGGAGCAAAGCCTCTTAAGAGAATGAGGATATCTTCCCGGGTGGCAGTTAAAACTGCTGTTGTGACAACCAACAGGCATTTTGTTGGAGGAAAAGGAAAAGCTAGAAACCACTGTGTTAGCCTTGTAGGGTAAACTTAAGTAAGTTTTTCTATGAAGCAGGAGGAAAACACTGAATATCCCGATAATGAGAAGGCAGAGCTCGACCGTTTAGGCTACAGTATACTCTTTTTTAAGTTTATTTATTTTTGAGAGACAGCACAAGTGGGGGAGGGGCAGAGAGAGAGAGAATCCCAAGCAGACTCTGCCCAGTGCGGGGCTTGAACTCACAAAAACCAAGAGACGTGACCTAAGCTGAAACCAAGAGTCAGACGCTTAACTGGCTGAGCCACCCAGGTGCTCTAGAGTGTACTCTTAACTAAATTTGTGGCTGAAACCTTATTCTTTGGCACAAATTTACTACAAAGCTATATTCTCTTTGAATATCGTCCTCCCAGACATCCGGCTCGCCCATCCCTCCTCAGTCATGATTTCCTTAACAGCCCTGTCCTCATGCCCTCTTGCCCGTGTGGGACCTGCTTCTGGGTTCCCAGAGACCAGGTCAGCTCTCTGCAGAAGCATGTGACCAGGGATGTGCACTGCATGGGGCCCGTGCCCCCCGTGTTTCCCTGGGGAACTCTCCTGCTGACCTGCAGGGCCGGCCGGGCCAGGGGCTGCCACGCTCACCTCCCGGAGTGGACGCCCGTGAGGGCCCGGCCTCCACGCTGCACAGCCGGGGCCTAGCATGTCGCCCACTGGCCTGGCCAGGGCCTGCTGGCCTGAGAGGGGCCCTGGCCTGTTGTGCACGTCGCAGCATGGGCTTCGCTTGAATTGCCCTCTCCGGTGCCCAGCCCCCCACGCAAGTCAAGAGCTTAAAAGTGAACGAACCCCTTTGGCTTCCAGTGATATTAACACGTGGTTCTCATGCTTTTCTCTGTATGTGTATGTGTGTTTGTGTCTTGCTTGTTTTCTTTTTCCAGATGACTAAGTCGGTTACTAACCCGGAGGAGTTGGGAGGACTGGCTTCACAAATGACCAGTGACTATGGGCACCTGGCTCTCCAGGGCCAGATGGCAGCAGCCACGGCGGAACCAGAGGAGGTCTGCCATCATAAGCCCCTGTTTTAAGAAGCACATGCACACTGGTACCCACGCCCGGGGGATGCTCTATAGCATAGCTCCACCCTAGAAGATTCCAGCCTGATAGCCGAAACCAGGCTTAGTTTTCACTACTCTCCTGCCAGCCCTCCAGGTCCAGATCCAGTAGCCCCGGGCTGTGCTCAGAGCTCACTGTCCTTTCTGAGGCCAACAGGCTGAGAGCTGGGTCCATCTGGGGATGCGGGTTCTCAGACAGACGGCCTCTGCTGAGAGTGTTCGGCCAGCTCACCTCCCTTCCAGCCCATCACCTGGCTCCCGGGGCAGAACACATGCTGCCATCATCTCCGTGCTTAGCACATCCCCCGCAATTATTTTCCTGTTTCTAAAGGCTCACAGAGATGTTGGAAGAACCAAGTATGGGAGTTAACTGCCTCTGATTAAGGGCCGGGTAGCCTGCTTTTGTGTAACAAAGTCTTGTCCAAATATGGTTGGTGGCTTTCTAAGATCTACCCCCATTATCTCCTTTGGACCCCTCTGTATTACCTACCTGCCTTCCCTAAACGCACTTTCCTTAGTGGCCAAACACAGACTTTGCCTTAGAATGCCTGCACCTGTAAGATTCTGAATTTGGTGAGAGGTTGGTCCCAAAGGCCACTTTCTAAGAACCTGCTTTCATCTCTGATACCCCAAGTAATCGGGGGGTCCTCTGGGAAACAAACAAGCCGGTGGGGGCTTCACATGCCTGAATGCTGCACCCATACCAGTGTTAGCACACAGAAGGTGCCCCTCCCCGAGCGACCGCCCGGCTCCTTAGAGACTGAAAGCTCAGTCTGGAATAAAGAATAGTGGAGTCGATTATAGGGACACTGGGAAGATGAAGGTAACTACATACTGTGGGAGTTAGCATAGCCATTTATGAAGCACAGATCCTGTATATGATATTCCTAAATGAAGTGTGCTGTCAGGATGGAAGGCTGTGACTGATCTACCTTTCTCTTTGTGGTGACAGCCCGTGTCCCCAGGTTACTTGGTGTCATTTCTCCTAGGAGTCCCTTCTAAGTATGTCTTTACAAAGACTCCCAGAGATAATGCAGGAATGACCCAAAACAAAATCACTTGCTAACATATGTTGTAACAACGCATGTAAATAGGAGTATCATATGTATGTACTTGCATACATATATATCTAGCATGGGATGATGTAAGTTTCTAACAGTGCCTGCATTTTGAGATTTCAGTATGGTTGAGTATTAAGGCTGCAGCATGAATAATTCTGTTTGTAATGAGTCTGTTAAGTTACTACCAAGAAAGAAAAATCATCAGACCTCCCCACCTTGACCCCAGTCAGGATTCTGTTGATTCTTTACACAGTCCTGTTATTTTTTTTTAATTCTTTTTTAATGTTTATTTTTTGAGAGACAGCACAGGCAAGGGAGGATCAGAGAGAGGGGGAGACCCAGAATCTGAAGCCGGCTCCAGGCTCTGAGCTGTCAGCACAGAGCCCAACACAGGGCTGAAACCCATGAACAGTGAGATCATGACCTGAAGTCGATGCTTAACCGACTGAGCCACACAGGTGGCCCCTGCCCAATCTTTTTTTTTTTTTTTAAATAGGCTCCCTGTGTTAGTAAGATCATCTGGACTCCTATAACTCGTTTGATTTTACTCGTGCTTTTGAATTTCCTGAATAAATGTAAGGGAACTTGGGTTACAGAAAGGGACAGTTTGGACAGAAGGAAGCAATGTTAGGCTTTGTAGGACTGAAACACTAACAGGCTGTGGGGAAGGTTCGGATCTCTGTTTGCAGAAATCTTTAAAGACGGAATCTACATTTGTCTGGTTGGTTCAGATGTTGACCTGCCTGAGTTACTGAGTGAAGAGCCCATGATCTGTGGAGACCTTTCCACATCTGAGTTCTTCGCAGCTACCCGGCCCATGTGTGAAACAAGCAGGTTTTCTTACTGCAACCCAGAGCATGAAGCAAAATACAAAATAATGCCAGAGCAGCCGGGAAAGAAAAGGTATCGTTAAAAGCACAACACAAAATGACTTTAGTTCCTGGCCCTGCGTTTGTAGCCGCTGACGTTTTCATTAAGGTTCTCCCTTTTCACCATTGCATCTTGAGTTATATTTTACATTCCAGACACAAGAGCAGTGTGACCTGAAGCAAAAGGGGGCAGAGAGAATATAAAATTACCAGTGGCTTGCTCAGGAAAATTCTTTGTGTGCATTTGCCAGACAGATATTTAGGGGAAAACTGAGAAGGTTGGGAGATCCCTAAAGCAATGTAGTTTTTTTTTTTTTTTTTTTTTTTTTTTTTTTTCCAAGACTGTGGAATTAGTTTTATATCCAAGAGGGCCCCACATCACAGCATGTGAAAGTATTTATACCCAGGGCAAATACGAAGCCATTCCCCCGGCCGCAGTCCTGTAGGCTGTGCCGAGTCAGCGCTTTGGGCTTTCCCGGAATGTGACCGTTCCCTGACAGGTCCCAATTCTGCCCTCTGAACATCCAGCAGGAGCTTTATCTGCTGCCGCTTCCATGGGAAACGCAACTCCTGTTAACATCACCATGAAAACTACTTTCTTCAGAAAAACTAAAACCCTCAGGCAACTTCACGATCTAAGATCACTGGTCTCCTTAAAAAAGGAAATGTAGATCCTGTGAGCCCCAAGTCCTGAATATAAATGCCGGGGGAAGGTTCTAGTGACTACAGCTTTGTCTCTGGAGAAAACTCTGCTGGGACCATCTGTAATACTGCCTGTCTCCAAAGCTGGCGGGAAGGTTCGTCCAGAGCCTGTGGCAAGAACCACAGCCTTTTCCCAAAAAATGAGACGAGTGTCTGCTCTAGAATTCTCTAAAACTTTCCACTCCAGGACACAGTTTCTATAGGTGGGAAGTGATTCTTTGCTTCTGTTGTACACTTTTGATTTCTCCTTTGAAGGAGAAATTTGTAAAGCCTGTCATGATAGCCATTTGTTGCCTCTTCAGTGTTCCCAAGCTCTCCCAGGCAATTATGTGACCTGATTTCAGATGTGATGGCTTTGGAAGCCTGAGAAAAATCTGTACGTTTTGTTTAGTTTTATGTAGTAAAGAAGATGATCTGTATTTCTGAGACCCCCCCCTCCATTTGAAATTTGATCCAAAATTTCATAAAGACCAGACTTCCAATTTCCCCCAAGGCATAAAACCAGCAGACGATGCCCATTTTATTTGGGCAAGAAGGGAATTGAAGGCTTTTCTTGCCGTTCGAGTAACGCTTTGACTAAAGTTGCCAACTTAAAACCCCAAGTTGGATGTCTCTGAGCAATATTTCTTTATAACACACCCCGGTGGTAAGGCGGATCACCCTGGGGACTGGTCCTGTTTGCTGAGAATTGCAGTGTTGCTTTGACAAGTTAACGTTTTTAAAGCCCTTATCTTTTTTGAATACAGTCTTCAAAACACATTCCCTTTCTCGGATGTTCCTCCAGCAGTACAGGATGTTCTGGGACACTGCAATAGAGTATGTTGCTTCTGTCATCCCCTTTTACGTAAACGCTTGCTCCGACTGTCCCACGTAGAAAAGAATACAATGAGAGGCGTTCATCGGGTCCATACCACACGTCACACCCGTGACGGCTGCAGCTCATTTACCGTCACAACTGCACAGTCCTTTGTTCTTCCCCATTTCACAGGTTAGCTGAGGTTCAGGGAGCTTACATTGTCCAAGACCACATAGCTACAGGAGTTAGTGTGGAAGCCACTTGAAATAACTTTTTGGAATAAGTGAAATTTCAAGTAAGTACATAATGCATGAAAATGCCGGGATTCAAACCCAGGGCATCACAGCCTTTGCTCTTTGCCCCTCACCGAGCTTCCTCTTATCACAGCAGTGAACATTCACATGGCACTTTCTACTTGGAGATGTTTTCACACACATATCTTTGACTTGGTGGTGTGTCAGTCCCGGGAAGTAGGGCAGCTTCTGTCCCATTTCACAGGTGAGGGACCAGAGGCCTGGGAGGTTAGCTGGCTCACCCAGGGAGTTGATGTCCATGAGAGGGCCGGCCAGAAGCAGGGTCCATGGGCCTTTCTGCTGCCCATGCTGCCCTCATGGGCCAAGGGCCAGGAGTGGGGCTGGCATCCTGGGATGCCTCCCCTTCTTGTTGTGTTCAGCCCTCAGCCTGTGGACGTGCACAAATCCTATTTCAGCATGTCCTTTGTGACCCTCCGTCCTCCTGCATGCTGTCCACATAAGGCCGTGCGGCCAAGTATATAGGAGGATTGCATGGCAACCAAGAAGGCAGTCATGTGACCTGGCACAGACGTGATACCCAGACTGAGGGCTGGATTGGCCAGGAACCCCACGGGCTTGTACACCTGTGGCCTTATTTTAGGCGCATCCTTTTGCTTTCCGGTGCTGGTCTTCATCGGGGCTTCCTAACTGGAATCTCATCACTAATGATCAGTGTCCCAGCTCCACAGTCGTCTTTACAGGATCCTTTGCTACGTGCACGATGTCCCCTCCAAGGAAGAGGCTGAGCGTCGGGACGTTGGGGTGCTTTTCATAGCATGGCCTCTTGCAGGGGTGCAGAGGGAGCATGCGAGTGTCCTGCCCGCCCATAGGTTTCAGGCTCGACACAGTGCGGGAGCAGGTCCCTTCTCCCTCATACCTCGAGGGTGATTTGAGAGTGATTTAAGAGACCTCTGCTGGCCCTGGTGCCCACCACTGTGCAGACCGGAAGCTCAGGCGTGGTTCCAAGGAGAGAGTAGGAGCAGAGCACGGAGAATGTTCTTTCTGGGCCTGGTCCTTCCTAGCACTGAGGTCACCCGCCTCACTCTTAAGAGCTCTGACCCCGGGAGGCGCTTTGAAAGTCCTGCATGTTTGACTCAAGGCTCACTTTTTAAACATAATTCAGCTATTTTTAAAACTGTTAGGAAAACCTCTGTGTATTTTTGAACATACTCTGGGCCAAATGGTAACCCATTGGGGGCCACCAGCGCCTTTCCGTGGGCTGCTGGGTTGCTTGTGCAGATGTCAGGCTGAGGCAAGTCTCTGCCTGCTATGGTTTAGGGGACTACGGGGAAAATCGCTCCTGTTTGCCTTATGCACAAAACAGGATTTTCTCAACACTGCAGCCAAATCAAAATACAGAAATGAGTTGGTGGCCAAGGCTATCTATATCTGGCCTTCAGAGTCTGACATTTAAACTTTGGCTCATTTAGCCTTATTGTTGACTTTTTATTGAGTCAAAGATAGAAGTTTTGACTCCTATAGGAAAGGTGTACTTAATAACAGATGATATCAATTTTACATGTTGACTTTCCATGAGAGGTTTGGGTGTGGGGTAGGGGGCAGAGGGTGGCTCTGATCACTTCTCTTCACAGTCTCTGCACAGTCTCTTCATCTGTCATTGAGGTCTGACTAGTGAAGTCGTTTTTATTTTGAAATCATATGTTTCTTCCTCCATTTGTGCTTTCCCAGCAGCACCTGTCATTTAGAGCTCTGTAGGCATCCTTGACACAGAGCTCTTGCCTATGGATTAGTGCTGAGCCTCAAGTGTTTCCGGTTAAAGTACACGGATCTGAAAAAGCCTCGAGAGCCAGGCTGAGTTTTCAGCTTTCATGGGGCATCTTCCTACTTCAGCTGGGCCTCATGTTTAAACCAACAGCAAACAGCTACATTTCAGGGGTATTTCTGCTGAGTGGGTTGAATCGGACTGGAGATGGTCCATAAGAAACCCGGCCTGCCTGATCGTGAAGCTTTTGCAGCATCCCCAAAAGAGCCGAAGTTCCACTTTCTGGATCAGGACAATTTTCTATTAAATGGATTTAAACATGCTTTCGGCCTTAAAAGGTTAAGGGAATTACCTATCTTCCCAAAAGCATTATGTGTTTCAATAACAGAGTTAACATTTGCAGCCCCCTTGACTGCCCAAAGCCCCCCTTCCTAATAGGACGATGCTGGAAGGTAGCACCCAGGTGGTCCAGATCTCCCAGCTTTTACTCGAGACACCAGAGATCTTAGTAGCTACTCTTGGTAGAATAGCTGGAAGGAGAAGCCACGGCTTCTTGCTGTCGTGGAGTCTTGGAAATAATGCTTGTTCAGGAGAGCTTACGGTTTTTTGTTTTTAGTTGCTTACTTCGGCTGGAGGGCAGATTATTTATGGCAGCTGTATTGATCAGACCCAAATGAAAATTGATGTGAAATCGCCAGAGGAATGCACACTTTGGGTGGTGGAATTTATTACCCTATAAAGAGACAGCTGGCAGCTTATCCATAGTGGAGCTCATTTGGGTTCTTTGAGGCCAAGTACCTTTTATAATCACATGACCCAGAGGTCACTAAAAGAATGCGTGCCTGCTGAGCCTTTAGCTCTGAAAGTATACCTTTTTAAGGAAACCTCAACCTTGCCTGATAGGCAGCCTGGGCCCAGTGTGGATATAGCTGAGGAAGGGGGCGTTCTGATTGGAAACATCCCGATGTTGCAAGAATCTGCAAGCTTTATGCTTCTTACTAAAGCTGTATATTTTGAACTTCTAATTATTTTTTAGGACTGTTGTGTGGAATAAATGAAAGCAAATGCAATACCTGCTTAGAAGAGGCCCTGACACACAGTAGGGGCTCAATAAGTGCTTGAATGGCTAATAATTACCCCCACAGAGTTCATCTAATGAACATCCCTATCAGGTGGCTCAGATAGAAGTTGGCAGTTCACTGGAAAAGGTAACAAATATCAGAAAGCCATTAGGCTAGCAGGATGAGGTGTAGGCCTGCGTCCTGGGGACCGTGGGCATTTTACAGTCTCTAAAAGGGGAAGTAAAATCAATGAAATTCCATACTCCACCAAGCACAGACTCCTAACAGCAGTGGAATTTTCCTAGCCAGGCTCCCATAGGACGTAGGAGAAATTTTCCACGTAGGGGAGACCTCGATGGCAGAATCCCTCATGCTTCTCTTTCCCCACCCCGGGCTTGCCTCCGCAGATCGGCTTCCAGATTCGCACACGTGTGCAGGACCTGGGCCACGGCTGCATCTTCCTGGTGCAGAAGGCGGGGGCCCTCCAGGTGTGCCCCACGGACAGCTACACCAAGAGGGAGCTCATCGAGTGTGCCCGTGCAGTCACAGAGAAGGTAAGGAGCAGCCCTCAGGTCAGACACGGCCACGGTCACCCACACCCACCCTCGATGGTCCACCGTGACCAGTGACATAAGCGGGACGCTATGCCAAAAAGGATCCAGTCAGGTCTGGTCTTCCCCCACATGCAGGGATTCCCCAGGGATGGGACACATAAGGGGGCCGGGGTAATCCATAGCCCTGAGAAATTCCGAACATGGGACGTACTGTCCCATGAAAGTCAGGGCCCCAGCAGTGCACTTCCTTGATGGGTTTTCTTGTAGGTAGACTGGACAGACCACATCACAGTCACATGAGTACCAGGAGCCCCCTTTTGACACTCGTCCCCTGGGCTTCCTTCTCAGGGAGGCTCCCAGGTGCTGGGGACTCAGTAAGAAGGGCCTGAAGCTCTCTTTGGGTTACCTCCTTCCTCCCAGAAGAGACTGAGGTGTGCAAGGGTTGAGCACCGCACCCAAAGTCGCACGGCACCTTGGTTGAAAGAGCAAGATCCTGCGTGATCTTTTTAGAGTCTAGCAGCGGCTGTTTGTGGAGAGAACCCCATGGTGTAGCGAGTGGGGCTCCAGGGTCTCAGCTAAGTTATCTCACCTTTCTGAGCCTCTGTACCCTCACCTGCAGAATGAGCACAGAGAAATACAATTCCTGGCCCATAGGGTTGTGAAAATGAAATGCGGTGGTAAGCGTGAAGGTGCTTGCTTGGCATCGCGCCAGACACACAACCCAACGTGTCACAGATACTTGCTGTCCTCTGTAAGCTGCCTTCCGACACCCTCCTCCCACGAAATTTACCCTGCTCGACGAAGCCGGTTCTCCGCATCCCTTCGTTCCCGTGGCTCCCTGATGGCCCCAAAGTACACTCTTCTGCTTTGCTCATTTCTTAAGAGTCCTTTTTCAGGACAGCTGTTTTGCAGGCCGAAGCATCTGTGCTTTGCTGGCTTCTCCCTCTCCTTCTCTTGGGTCCCCAGGACACAGAGCTCTGCACTGTTGAGCAGCCTGGCCACAGGACTCAAGGGCTGGGTGGGGGACCCCTCACCTGGCAGCTGCCGGTACAGATGCTTTTCTGTACAGGGCTGCCAGCCGAAGCCAAGCAACGCCTGGCCGTCTCCTGCAGCCCACAGGACTACCCAGGCCTCCTCGGACTCCACAGGATGAGGAAATAAATCTCTCAGCCGGAGGAAGGCATTCTCCCTCCTTTCAAAGCCCTGCCTTGTTGTCGAAGTTACTCTGGCGGGGTTCCCTTGTTGAAGACCTTGGAATTGGCACATGAAGGCAGGGAGGCAGAGGTCCAAGCAACATGATCTTCCTGAGCTGTTCTCTGTCTTACTGCTTCTCCCAGCAGAGGGTCCCTGCCACCTCCTGCCCGGAGGAGGCTCAGAGTCAGAGGATCAGCTGTTCAGACTAAACCAGCCTTTTTGGTGCTTTCTTGCTACGTGCTCTGGCCCCCCATCTCCACCTGGTGTGTCTTTCTTACATGTCCTGGTTGTGTCTGTAACTTCCCACCAGCCGCAAGAGGCTTCACTTGCTCATCTTCGTGTCCTTGTCCCCTAGGAACTAGTAGCTGCTCAGTAAACTCACACAGCTTTTGTAACAGGCGGGACACTGTTTCCGTACTCTTTGAATCTGGCTGAGAACATCCCTCTTGTTCTCATGATCACTCGTCTTGGCCTTTGTCACCTGTCCTCAGAGAGTTCTTTCTGGAAACTAGATGCTTGATTCTCAGGCCATCTCTGTTCCTGGTGGGACATAGTGGCATTTAACTCCAGGAAGGAGAATCAGGCAAATGAGGAAGAGAAGCTGTTCCTTGTGGGCTAGTCTTGGGATGTGGCCGGTGCTCGGGAAGTGGGCCCTCTGCCCCGCATGCTGGGTTGTGTCCACCACCTCTCCTAAGATGTGAGCAGCGCAGAAGGAAGAGAGCATACGAGCTCTGTGTCTCTCAGTGTTGCTATAACTCCTCTGTCCCGGCCATTGTATTTTTAGAAAATGCATTCACGAAACTTTGCAGACTCTTCTATGAGCCAGTCATAGTCAAGGGTCGTGCGTGTGTGGGCACAGAAAGATTAATACGACAGCTCCAGACTGTCTCTCAACTCAGAGCCTCTGGTCACTGGCTGGACGCGTGCTGTTTTAACCTGTGCTGAATGAGCTGCCCCGAAGCCAGGGACAGTATGCTCGTGTCTCTGGACGAGGACGGCTGAGACTTTGAGCTGGCTTCTGCAGGATGAGCAAGTTAGTGGCTGGAGAATGGGGAGGGGAGGCACAGGAGGCAGGGGGCAGACCCACTGCATGAGAGGCGGGGGAAGTGAGGAGCTGGCCGATGTGGCAAGAATGTGGCAGGAAGCCACAGAAGTGGAACTGGTCTGGTCGTGGGAGGAACTCAGCTTCCCTTGACAGCAGGGGAGAATTTTACGCAAGGGTGTGGGGTTAGCTTTGTGTTATAGGAAAGTGTGTCTAGGAATAGAGAGGGTTTTCTAGAGGGGGTGATGGGTGGCAGGTGGCAGTGAAGGGTTTCTGACTTGAAAGGCACTGGAGGGAACACAGCCAACTTGCTGGACTCTCAGGTCACTGGAATTATTATTTAGTGACAGGTGATAGCTCAAGGGAGTGTTGGGGTGGAGAGGCGACGCACGCAGGTCTGCTCTGGGCTCTAGCCTCAGTGGAGTCGACCATGAAGAATTTCTCATCGATAGGCAGCCAGAGGAAGGAATATCGAGTGTTAGCAGAAGGCTGTTCTACAGAAAACCTTATCAGAGCAGGGCACAAATGATCACACCTTTCACAGGAGCCTAAACTTCTTTCTGGTTCCACAAACGTAATCCTATTATGGGGCGCCTGGGTGGCGCAGTCGGTTAAGCGTCCGA